CGTCTTATACGCCCAGTCGTCTTATACGCCGGAAAATACGGTATCTAATGTCTCTTAATGACCGCAAAGCACATTCTTTCAAAGGAAAGTGCCCCTCAAATCCAAAATCATTTTATATAGAAATATACAAACTGCAAAGGCATTATGTGGCAATGTTTTTTAATGTTTTTTTTAATTACAGGTTGTTTAAGTGAAAGCAGAACAAGAAGCTCAAAGAAGAAAATGGAAAACATGAATAAAAAAAGTGAAGCAAGCTGTAAAAGTTCTCCTGATTTTGTTAAAAAGAACATAGAGGTATGTTAATGGTCTACATTGCAAAGCACAGAGTAGGAACTCTCTGGTCCAAAACACACTGCAGAAATAATCAGTTTGAGACTGCTTTAACTGCCTTAGCTCAGTGCTAAAGAATCCTGGGAATTGTTGTTTATTGTGGCACCAGAGCTCTCTGACAGAGAAGGCTACAGATCTCACAAAACTACAGTTCTCAAAATTTATTAGCATTGAGCCAGGGCAGTTAAAGCGGTCTCAAACTGGATTATTTCTGCAGTGTGTTTTGGATCTCTGTCATGTCTCATCGTGTTGGTTACTTATTAATTAATAATGGATGATTAACTTTGCTACAAAGGTTATCTGCATATCTTGTCTGACATTTATTGGAAAAGTGAGATTATAGATTTTTGATTGCTTTCAGATTATATTTCATTGGAGAAAATATTAGAATTTATTTATCTGGCATTAGCACATTGCATATCTCCTTTAATCCCCGGGGTTAAAATATCCCCTTTTAACTCAATCTCCTTATTATTTTATAGTGTGAATCTTTTCTGATGTAGCACTTGTGACTTCTGACAGTAAGTGGAGGGGGGGGGGAATTACAAGGCTCTTTGTATTTAAAAGTTTAAAAAGTAAGAACTGCTTAAAAGGTATGGATGTAGTAGAGGATAATGCTGCAAGAGGACGTATACAGAATTTTTGCAGATTCTAGCACATCAATTAGATTATCATCAAGTCTTGTAACAATAAATGGCAGAATTTAACTATATGCAGTGAAAAGTGTTTTCTTTTGTCTGTCTCCAGTTGCCCACTATTCAACTTTGTTCAATTACTTTCTTTCTTTCTTTTGGCAAATAGTAAGGTTTTGAGCTTATCCCTCAGATGTTATAGAGTTGGTGCCAGTTGCACCCCCATGTGGATGGTATTCCATAGTTGGGGCACCACAGCTAAGAAGGAACATAATGCACTTGAGAGTACCAGTTACATTTTTGGCTACTGCAACTATGCTTTAGCTGAAACTTCGATGTCAGCCGTATATGGAATGCATTATAGTCATCCAGTCAAGAGACTTTCCCTGATAGCTGACAAACCAACCAAAATGCAGTACACACGTCCCTCCATTTTCGCAGACTTTGGCTCTGCAGTTTCAGCCCTTTGCAGACCGGCAAGTGGGGAGGGTTAAAATGGCATGAACGCCCACAGGAGCACATGGCCATTCAAGCCTATGAAGCTTGAATATTTGCAGATTTACATTTTCATGGGGGGTGGGTGGGTGTCTGGAACGGATCCCCTGCAAAAATGGAGGGAGAGCTGTGTTATGAGAGGGAAAGAGTTATTTGTTCACTTTTGCCATATCATATCCCATGTTGCCATGTCTCTGTCATGCTGGATTTAAGGATTTAATTACCCAGGACAGTTTTGGATTCCTGAACCTAATTTCTATACATTTGCCCCCTATAATTACTACCAGACTAAACAAGCTGGTGAGGGAGATGAAAGTGACAAGAGAGAAGGGCCAGTACTCTCACCCTGCTATCTCTTTGTCTTAAATTTACATCTGTGCTCAAGTCACTGCTTGCTACCATTATGCATACTGTGGCCTTTATCTGTTGATTTGTGCTGTAAATGGCACACATGGCTTGGGCTTTGGGCCTCTGAAGAGTATGTAACTTTCAAGCACATTCAGTTCTTCACTTCTGTTAAAATTTCCTGCAACCAATTTATCTTTTTTTGGTTGAGGTATTGATATGAATAACTATGCATCAAGTATCTGAGGATTCCAAACAGCTATTCTGTAAGCTCTCAGTTTGTTGTCAGACATAACAGCTGTTTTTGTTTGATTTGTTCTCAGCTTGAATATAATTATTCCTCCCTTCCTTTTAAAAGGGATTTTTTTTAAAAAAACTTCAAAACTATTGTAATGGAGTAAGGAGGTCAATATTCAGTTATCAATATTTCAGGCCTTCCAAATTGCTTTCTTTATTCAGCTGGCCAAAGATTCAGCAAACCAAGTGGTTATGCTGGAAGAAGAGAAGAAAAGACTGACAGAGTTGC